GGGCCTTAGGTGGAGCTCCCTACGGGGCCACGAAACGCCGTACTGGGTGTGGCGGACGCATCTGCTACCCCCTCCCGTTTATGGGGCCTTAGGTGGAGCTCCTCATGGGGCCACGAAGCGCCGTCCTGGGTGTGGCGGACGCATGTGGCACCCCCCCCTGGGGCCTTAGGTGGAGCTCCCTATGGGGCCACGAAGCGCTGCACTGGGTGGGCGAAACGCATGGAGGAGGAGGAGGAGGAGGAGTGAGCGAGTGAGTGAGTGAGTGAGTGAGTGAGTGGGTGGGTGGGTGGGTGGGCGGGTGGGTGGGTGGGTGGGACGCGGGGCGCTGTCTGTTCAAAACGAAAATCCAACACCACAGGATGGTTGGGAATAGAAATTATCCCGGCAAAGCAACCTAACAGCCATGTGTAGGAGCATCTCTGGGTCGAACAGCATGTCGATGTATCATATGCACTAACTCAAAGCGGGCGCGTTACGTTAGGAGGAGGGATCAAGGGGAGGAGGCCGGCGAGGGGGGGGGCTGTGCCCATCCGAGGGAACGGGGCAGCCCCCCCCCGCCCCAAAAAATGTTTCGGCCTCTCAAGGCCCCCCCCGCTCCACGAATCCCATTGGGGGGTCGAGATCCCCGCTCTGCAGTGGGATTCGCGGAACGGGGCGCCCCCCAGGTGCTTGTTATCTTCGCGCTGGCGCCGGCAGCGTGCACCTGAGGGAACGCGGGTTGAAATGAGTGAGGGATCAGGAAGGATGTGGAGGGGCGTTCCGCTCTGAAGCGTCCTCACAATCTGGCAAAACCGCAACCCCTCCCCGGGGGCACCGCGCGTGCTGGACCAGGCACATGCGTCGCCCTAAGTCGGCGCGCACATATGAGAGGCCCATGTTTGTGTGTCTGTCCCCCAGGAAGGCCCGACATGGCGAGCAGAAGGCCCGAATAATTCGCCCGGTGTGTCTGTCCCCCAGGAAGGCCCGACATGGCGAGCAGAAGGCCCGAATAATTCGTCCGAGGGGCTCCCCAGAGGGGCCCCCCAGAAGGGCGCAGGGAGCCTTCCTCAGAGCCCTGGTGCGCACGACCTTGGCCGAAGGCCATCAGATATGCAAGTACAACAGTTCATGCAGGAATCTCTTGTGCATGTGCTGGTGCCACTGCTGCGAGCAGGCAGTGGAACGAGCGAGGAGGGGGCATCAACCTTGACCGCCCGCCCCCGCCCCCTTCCCTTGACCGCGCTCCGCGGCCGGGCGCAAGCGCGGCCGGTCGGGGCAGCCGGCCGGGGCAGCCGGCCGGGGCAGCCGGCCGCCTTCCCCTCCTGCTCGTCCTCCTCCTCCTCCTCCTGCTCGCCCTCGTGCTCCTCCTGCTCGTCTTCTTTCTCCTGCTCCTCCTCCTCCTCCTCCTCCTCCTCTTTTTCCTGCTCCTCCTCCTCCTCCTCTTCCTCCTCCTCCTCCTCCTCCTCCTCTTCCTCCTGCTCGTTCTCGTTCTCGTCCTCCTCGTCTTGCTCGTCCTCCTCCTCCTGGTGCTCTCTCCTCCTCCTCCTCCTCCTCCTCCTCCTCCTCCTCCTCCTCCTCCTCCTGGTGGTCCTCGTTCTCCTCCTCCTGGTGCTCTCCCCCCCCCTCTCCTCCTCGTCCTCCTCCTCCTCCTCGTCCTCCTCTTTTTCCTCCTCCTCCTCCTCTCTCCTCCTCCTCCTCCTCCTGGTAGTCCTCCTCCTCCTCCTCCTCCTCCTCCTCCTCCTCCTCCTCCTCCTCCTCCTCCTCCTCCTCCTCCTCCTCCTCCTCCTCCTCCTCTTCCTCCTGCTCGTCCTCGTTCTCGTCCTCCTCGTCTTGCTCGTCCTCCTCCTCCTGGTGCTCTCTCCTCCTCCTCCTCCTCCTCCTCCTCCTCCTCCTCCTCCTCCTCCTGGTGGTCCTCGTTCTCCTCCTCCTGGTGCTCTCCCCCCCCCTCCTCCTCCTCGTCCTCCTCCTCCTCCTCCTCGTCCTCCTCCTCCTCTTCCTCCTCCTCCTCCTCCTCCTCCTCCTCCTCCTGGTAGTCCTCCCCCTCCCCTCCTCCTCCTCCTCCTCCTCTCCTCCTGGTCGTCCTCCTCCTCCTGGTCGTCCTCCTCCTCCTGCTCGTCCTCCTCCTCCTCCTGCTCTTCTTCTCCTGCTCCTCCTGCTCCTCGTCCTGCTCCTGCTCGTCCTTGTCCTCCTGGTCTTGCTCGTCCTCCTCCTCGTCGTTCTCTTGCCCCTGCTGAAAATGTGGCCCGGGAATGGGAGTTCTGGGAAGTCGAAGAGCACGAAGTTGACTACAGTTGGCTACGGGCATTCAAAATGTGGCCCGGGAATGGAGTTCTGGGAACTGGCCTACAGTTGGCTCCGGGCAAGTGCAATGGAGTTCTGGGAAGAAGAGCACGAAGTGGCCTACAGTTGGCTCCGGGCATTCAAAATGTGGCCCGGGAATGGAGTTCTGGGAACTCGAAGAGCACGAAGTGGCCTACAGTTGGCTCCGGGCATTCAAAATGTGGCCCGGGAATGGAGTTCTGGGAAGTCGAAGAGCACGAAGTGGCCTACAGTTGGCTCCGGGCATTCAGAATGTGGCCCGGGAATGGAGTTCTGGGAAGTCGAAGAGCACGAAGTGTGTGACTGTTGGCTTAAAACGACTTTTGCGGCACCCTGTCCGGCACCCGCCCAGACCCCCCTGTGGAGTCATCTGCTGCTCCCTTTTGACACCACTAGAAACCTATCAGAACAAGCTGTTAGGTAATTAATATCTTGGCGAAGGGCCCAACCATATGCAGCTGGTAGCTGTGGGCACCACAAGTATGAAGACCTTCTTCGGTGAAGTTCCGTATGGGGCCATGAAGCGCTGCACTGGGCGGGGGGAACGCATGCAGGCGGCAGCATTGGGGCCATCGGTGAAGCTCCCTACGGGGGCACGAAACGCTGTGCTTGGTGGGTGAAAATGCCAAATTGTGTGCGTGTGGAACGCACGCGGGCGGTCCCATTGGGGGCTTCGGTGGAGCTCCGAATGGGCCACGAAACGCTATACTGGGCGGTCGAAAGTGCCAGATTGGGCGCGCGGGACGCATGCGGACGGTCACATTGGAGGTTTCGGTGGAGCTTCCTATGGGGCCACGAAACGCTGTATTGGGTGGATGAAACTGCCAAGTTGGGTGTGGCGGGCGCATGTGGCCACCCTCCCCCTCTGGGGCGTTAGGTGGAGCTCCCTTATGGGGCCACGAAACGCCGTATTGGGTGTGGCGGACACATGTAGGGCCTTAGGTGGAGCTCCCTACGGGGCCACGAAATGCCGTACTGGGTGTGGCGGACGCATGTGGTCATGTGGTCCCCCCCCTGGGACCTTACGCGGAGCCCCCTTATGGGGCCACGAAACGTTGTACTGGGTGTAGCGGACGCAGGTGGTACCCCCCCTTTTCCGGCCTTAGGTGGAGCTCTTTATGGGGCCACGAAACGCCGTATTGGGTGGGGCGGACGCATGTGGTACCCTCCCCCCCGTGGGGCCTTACTTGGAGCTCCCTATGGGGCCACGAAGCGCCGTATTGGGTGTGGCGGGCGCATGTCGTACCCCCCCCCCTGGGGCCTTAGGTGGAGCTCCCTATGGGGCCACGAAGCGCCGTACTGAGTGTGGCGGACGCATGTGGTATCCCCTCCCCATGGGGCCTTAGGTGGAGCTCCCTATGGGGCCACGAAACGCCGTTTTGGGTGTGGCGGACGCATGCGGTACCCCCACCCTGGGTCTTAGGTGGAGCTCCCTATGGGGCCACGAAACGCTGTATTGGGTGGGTGAAACGCATGGAGGAGAGGAGGAGGAGGAGGAGGAGGAGGAGGAGGAGGAGGAGGAGGAGGGGGAGTGAGTGCGTGGGTTGGACGCGGGCCGGTGTCTTTTCAAAACGAGGACCCAACACCACAGGATGGGTGGGAGGAATAAAAAAACGTGATAAATTAATAGACACATCACACACGTGTCTCCGACGCAGTGCTCGATCGCAAACACTGGCTGGCAACATACACTGGCGGGACGCGCACAGCCCAGGTGATCCACCGTGCGCGTGTGCACCTACACGCAGACGTGAATAGAGTGTTGATGTAAGGAGGGGAGTGGACTGAGACTAATACGATTTATATCTATATATATAAATAGAGAGAGAAAAGAGAGAGGGAGAGAGAGAGAGAGACGGAGAGAGAGAGAGAGAGAGAGAGCGAGAGAGTGAGAGAGAGAGAGAGACATGTACAAAAGAATGCGAGAGAGAGAGAGAAGGCCGCACGAAGGTCTGCAGGCACGCGGGCTCGACAGGGAGCTCAGCCGACCGCTTGCCCGCTGTTTTCGGGCAGCCGCCGGAGGGGGCGACGAGCCGGCGGCCCGTCGTTCCGCAATGGACGGCTCGATGAGCTACATGAGCGCCCCGCAGGGGACGCAGGCGCGCCCACGCCGCTCCGTCCGCCCCGCGTGCTTCCCCGCTCTCGCGCTCGTGTCCCCTTGCGCCCCCCCCCGGCGCGCCTAGGCCCTGCGGACTGAGACATCGTCGACCGAGGGCATTTTTCCCGAGGAAGCTTTCCCTGCGTTTGCTTCCGTACACTCTCCCGAAACGGCTCTTCTTGGGTTAGAGTCGTTCTGTGATATCGGCCCCGGAGGATCTCGGCCCATTCCCTGGGGACGCCTTCCCATTTGCAGTCGTTGCTCGACGGGCCCAGGCCAGGAAGCGGCTTCCAGATTGCGAGAACGTCGAAAGGCCGGCCGCCACGATGTTGGCTGCGACGCCCGGATCTGAGGGTAAATCGAATATACCTCCCACAGCGCAGGGTGCCCTGACCTGGGCCGCCCAGGCCCTCTCTCCTACGCCTCTGCCAGGTCCGACTCCGATCCGGCCTGCAGGGACCGGGCCCGATCTGCGAGCCCAAGCGATCCGATCCTGCGCCGATTCGGGCGCGATCCGATCCTTTTCCGAATTGAGATCCGAGCCGATTTCGGGCCGTCTCCGAATTCAGATCCGACCCGATCTCGAGGGCTCGATCCGGCTCAGGCCTGCCTGCGCTGGGCTGGCGCTCCCGGCCCTGGAGGTGCCCGAGGCCGCAGAGCGGCGGGGCGGCCGGCCCGCTCAGCTCGTGGCAGGCTCTGGACGTGCAGTGGGCGCGTCAGAGAAGAGACCTGCCTGCCGGGAGGCGCGTAGGCCCAGCGCGCCTCTCGGCCCCCGTCGCCTCGTCGTTCGTCCCCCCCTTCTGTGCTCGCGTACTCGTCGTCCTCCTCCTCTGGATCTTGCGGGCTGGTGCGGGGCGAGCTTGAGAAAGTCCGAAGTTCGTTTGGGACTGGATTCCCCCCAAAACAACGAAAACCCGTCCAAAACCCTCCCGAGACCCTCCGAAAAGCCTCCCAGAACCCCTCCCAGAGGGTTTTCGGACCCCGGACTTTCTAATCATACAGTGAACCAGCGTATGAAGAATGAGCGATGTTCCAAGCTTGCCCTTGCGTCCTTCTCATTCGGCCCATCCTTGGCCGCTTTCGCTGGCCGCGCCGCGCTCGCAAAGTGACCACATGGCCTTCCAAGGCCCTTGCATCCTTGTCGCGCGTCCTCATTACACGGGTTGGCTACAGACCCCATCTCTCTGGGCGGTTTTCGAGTCGGACGATCTGTGATGGTCCCAGGGCCCGAACTGGGGCGAAAACGCCCAGTGTGAAAACATTGCAACGCCCGGATCTCAGGGATCGACGACGCATGTGCCCCCAGATCGTTTTCAGCACGATGTGCCATCATAAGTTTACGGTGCGGGCGTTCGTTAAGGAATGTGCCCAGGAAGTTTCAGACCCTGGAGGTTCCTTCATCTGATGAGGGCGGGCATGAGATCCATGACCATCCACAATAGGAATTACACCAGCTCCCAGAGCAAGGAGAAGGACGCGCCCAAGATGAAGGAGGCTAAAGCCTGAGTCGCAGTCGGTTGCGTCGCGGTCTTCCCAGCCTCCCGTTGACGATGCGCAAGGGTTCCTTACCCAATGGTTCCTTTCTCTTATCACGAGAGCCTACCTTTACGAAGACAAAGAACAGCGCGCTGACCTATCTCCGCACTCGCTTCCTCATCCGCACCCCGCTCATGATCATCCGCCTTCTGATCGTCCACCTCGTCTTGAACCCCCCGTCCTTCAGGGGCATCGCTAGGTGGGGATATTCGGCGGCGAGCGAGGGGGGGAAGTGAGAAGGAGAAGGCCTTCTCAGAAGGCGGCGGGGCTTCTCAGAAGGCCCTAGCGCCGTCTGAGAGGTGTTCTGTGTCTTCGGGGAAGGCTTCGAAAACTTCTCAGAAGGCCCAGGGAATTCTGAGCCTTCTCAGAAGGTCCGTTTCTTCTCACTTCCCCCCAGGCTCGCCGCCCATTGTCATCCGCCCGATCGCCTTCAGGGGCAACACTAGGTGGGGATGGCTCAGAGGGGGACGCATCGACACCCAATCGCCCATTCATCGCTGGCTATGACCTGCAAGCCCACCCCGCCCACGACCGTGCGGTTTCTCTATCCAGGGGCATATCGCCGATCCATGGGCGATGCATCGCCGATTCTAGGTCGCCCCCTGAGCCGGCCCCCCCCCTTCTTCTTGCGCAGGCTTTAGGAAAAAATGGATGCGAGTTCCCCCTGAACTCGGGTTTGCACAAGCCTTTTGACGGGCCCGTCCTGGATGTTTACGGTCCAGTTGTCGTGGGATGTTTGCGGCGGGAGTTCGTGACAAATTCCAGATTGAACGGCCCCGTAAGGCCAACTCGAGTCCTCCAAACTCGAGTCTGTCGTCCCCCCGACAATTGCACCCACCTTGTAAGCAGACCCCAGGCAGTCAAGCATCATCCGAACGCGGCGTACACGCAGCACCGCGCGCACCGCGCGAGCGGCACCACGCGCACGGCACTACGCACGTGCCGCCGCACGCGGAGCCACTTCAGACTCCCCTTGCTCCAACGACCGCCACCACGCGTTTGTTGTCTCCCCTCCTCCTCCTCCTCCTCCTCCTCCTCATCATCATCATCATCATCATCATCATCCTCCTCATCCTCCTCCTCACCCTCCTCCTCATCAGTATCATCATCATCAGCAGCAACAGCATCAGCATCATCATCATTATCAGCATCATCATCAGCAGCATCCTCATCATCAGCATCATCATATCCGTCTTCATCGTTATCATCTCCATCGCCATCTTATGTGAGGTACATGAAGCATGATGCAAATTTGCGCATGTGGGTTCATGTGGCGAAGACCTAATGCAGTGGAGCATTCGGTTATCGTCATCGTCATATTCATATGTACCCTCCCATTCCTTATCCGCGCTCTTCTTTCCATATCCCTCATCCCTCCTCAGCTTCCTCCCGTTTGCTCGTCTTGTCTAGCCTCTCCCCCCGTCATTGTTCTGCCTCTCTGCTCATACTCCGCGTCCCTCTATTGCTCCTCACTGGACGCAGGGAGACATGAACCTGTCCACGACGGTTGGCGCGTCCACTGCATCTTCCGGCATGGTGGGCTCCATATTGACCATGGTTGGGAAAATCAGCGTGAGAGCCAGGGGAACGTGGGTGGTACGATTGTCGGAGCGTGTCTGAGCTTTCTGGGGCTTCGTCAAACTAAACCGACCGAGCAGGAAGGGGAGAAGAGGAAGGAGGATGAGGAGGGGGAGGAGCAGGAGGGTAGGAGGAGCTAGAGGAGGAGAGAGAGGGGAAGCGCTCGAGGTGAAGGGCCAGGGGGTTGAGGAGGGAGTCGGATCGGCGCTGCCCCTCTGGAGTGTTGTACCCAATATGTGCCGTCTGCTTGAGATTACGGCATCCTCCTCTTCTTCGTCCTCCGCTTCCTCATCCTCTTCCTTCGCCTCCTCTTCGCCAGCCCTTCCTCCTCCTGCCCAGCTGTGCCGCTCCTTGGCTTTGGTCAGTTGCTGGCGCGCCGACTGCAGGCATCGCATCTGGCGCCACTTTCCTGCTGGACCGCACACCGACTCTGCTCCGTGGAGCAGCGCTGACCCGACTACTCGGCACTGATGAGTTGCCTCCTCTTCACATCCTCCCATCCCTAAACATGACACTGCGCTATTGACTCCATTGATTGAGGGACGCGGTCTCTGCGCTCGTGCACATCTTCTCGGTACCGATGCCCCACTGACGAAACCAATCGACATTTGCTGATCTCTGGATGCAGTCGGTCGTGGGTTGAGGTAATTGAAAAACGTTGGAAGATGAGAATCAGCGTCATGATTGATATGAGGAGGAAGATAGCAGCATAGGGGCAACGTTTCGAATCATTTCTGGTGTGGCGTCGACGAGTTGCTACCTTACGGTCGTTTTTATTGAAGGCATCCAAAGTCATTGGCGTGTTCCGTCAAGTTGCTCTGATGGGCAGAACTCGACAGAAAGCACGTTCAGAGTCGAAGCAGCGGCGCAAGTCGACGAGGAGGCGGCACCAGGAGTGCAGAAACATATGAGAGAAGGAAGGGGGCCAGTGAGCCCCAGAGGAGAATTTGGCGAAAATACAGGCGCTACTGGCTGATTGAAACGACTTGTGACGACAGTCGGCTTAGCGGTGAGATAGTCAAGATAGGTTGTTCGTGCATCGATGATTTGGCTTGGTCAATGGTCGAACTGGCTCGCCGAGCACAGGGTGGTTGGCTATGTCAAAGCGGCATGGCAGAACTAGCAACGAAAAACAAGCTTCAAGATGATGTGTGGGCGTTCGTGTCCCTTTTGCGACTCCCTGTGTGTCGATAGCGACGGTGCCGAAACGCGCGGCCTTCAAGTTCGGAAATTTGGCCTCGGGAACATGTCGCACAACCTTGTCCAAAACGGATGCATCGTGGCGGCCTGCGGTAGCGGTAGGCTTGGCTAATGCGCTTGGCCGTTGTTGCATTTGTGACTTACAGTGGTTGCCGCCAGCAGAAGATGAAGAGCGCACAGTCCAGTTCAGGACCAGCGGCAGTGCGGTTCTTACGGCGACAATTGGCCCAACCGCACAGGTTGCCGCAGGCGAGGGCCACAAAATGTTGCCCAAGAGCGAAGGTACGGCGGTGGCGTGCGGCAGCAATGGGGGTGTTGTTTCTGCGCCCCATCGGCGCTGATTGGAGATCGAACTTGCACGCATGTCGTTTCTGACGGGCGCCACCATGCTCCTGCCCCGCCGCGACAACACGGCCGTGGTTGTCGGCGGCGTCTGACCAGTGTGCATATTTCTGCGCTGGTTGGATATATGATGTTCGTCGCGAGTATGTTGCTAGCGTTGTTCCTGCAGGCATCTCTGATAGGCGATTCAGGACCACCTCGCTGCCAGCTGCCATATTCATAATCGAGGGGCAAGTATCTCGATGCCACAATCCTAATCCAAAAGAAACCGTCACTTATGGGCAATGCATGTATTCCAGGTGGCGGCCAACGACGGAGGGGGTGAAATGTGTGCGTATTGCGCTTTATGGCCCCAAGTCTATTACCGCATCCCCGCGTCGATTGCACCCCGCATTTCGTCTCTTGTTCCCCACCCTTCCACAAGCACCCCCCCCTCCTTGTGCGTCCATCCCCCACATGTTCCCCCCTTTTTCAGTCAGCCCCCGCCTCGTGTCCTATTCATACCCTTGTGCGTCGACGATCCTCTTAGCCCCCGCGACTGTTGCCTTTTAGCTTTACCGCATCCCCCTATTAGTTTCTGTCACTGCTCCTTCCACAGCACCTCACCCGATCGGATTCACAATCTCCCTCGGCCTCCCTCACGTTCTGGTTCGCCCTTGATCGCTCCTTCTTATCCAGCTGCGTGCGGAGGGCAGGTGAAGCCGTCATGTGTGACACCTCGTCTCCCGAGGTTTGCCGGAGCCGTAACATGTGTCACGCTTTTCCGACTCGTGTCGGGGCGTCTCTCATCGTGTTCGTCGCCGTTGTTCTACATTCGTGGTCTTCCTTCCTCGAATGGGGCTTATTGGAGGCTTCTTGGGGGCCTCTTGAGGAGCTCCCTGGGCCGTCTGAGGGCGCTCTTGGGAAGTCTGGTTCCCTCAGAGTCCGTCTTGGGAGCCTCCGTGGGCCGTCGAGGCTTCTTGGGCCAGCTGGAGGGCCTTTTGGGCTGCCTTGACGCCCTTTGGGCGACCATCTTGGAGCCATATCGGAAGCTTCCTGGGCCCGTCTTGGGTTGGCGGAAGCCCGAAAAAGTTAGAACCCGAAAATCGGTCCACAATTTGTTGAGGGTGACTCCATGACTTCAGTTTGTACGGACCTTGCTTGGCGCCCTCTTGAAGCCATATTGGGCCGTCTTGGTGCCATCTTGCGCCGTCTTCGAGGCATACTGGGCCATTTTGGCGGTATTGGTTGGCTGCTTGAGCCGTCTTGGAAGCCAGACTGGGCATCTCGGGACGAGAGAAGCGTCAGGCCGCCCAAGGAACCTCGGGAGGAGAGGAGGGGCGATGCATGCAGCCCAGGCGTTAGGATAGGGGGCCATGTCGAAGATTACCGAAGCTTTACCAGATAGCCCGTGGCATCGAGCCACGCCTGAACGAACGACAGTGGCGGATATGTTCCGTTCATTTTAATCCGTTTCATGCCTCAGACCATGTTTGCCATGCTTCTGCTTCCTTAGTCATAAGGTATTGCTCCCATTAGCACATCCGTTCAGCTCCCCAAACTCACTTCGCCTGCGTATTGGGTATTCCTGTCATGACCCTCTGGTGTCTCCCCCTCTGCCCATCCCCAGACATTCCATTTGCTAAGGTGACTATGAAGCAGCGGGAGCACACGACGTTCAGGTCTAACAACGTGCGATTCTTGCAGGATGCCGCAGCAGCACTGGAATGTTCAGTGTTGAGTCCCCATTCCGTCTCAACACGTCCGTGCTCGTCGCGTCCATGTTTGCATCGTGTTGCATATGACGCCAAAGTGCTACAGTATTGCGACCATCGGCGGTTCAACGTTGAAGCGGCTCCTATTCCCCAAACAGCGCTTCCACTAACGGAGTTCGCATACCTTTCGTAGGGAAATTGGTGAGGCCGCGACGGTCCGGCCATGACTCCCAATCGGGTTCTGCTCGTAGGGCTTGGCCCGCATGGCCGACTCCAGAAGCCCTGGATCCAAAATCATCGACGCCTCACCCGCCGCAATTTTACCTCCACCAGCCTTCTCTTTTCGATCGCTACTCCCACTGCCTGGGAAGTTTCGCGGGGGCGACAGAACAACCGCTCAAAACAACGCGGCGCGACCCGAGGGCTCAGTCCGAGAGACAGAGAAATCTTGGCAGATGATTATGCCAAGAAGGCAGTCGCGGCCCGTGTCTGCCAAACCTCAGGCCATTTGCCACCGTACCATGTGGGTGGAGGGGGAGGAGGAGGAATATCTCGCCCGCAGGAACAGAACAAGGAGGCCACGCGGGCGTTGGACGCCATGGAGGAGGAGCGCGACGAGGCGGTCCAGGCAGTTTTCAAGTGGGAGCAACAGCGCGAAAAGGTCCTTGGCAACCGCCCGGGAAAAGTGGAGCAAAGACGCGATCAGGGAGATGAGATTGAGGAGCGGAGAGGGAGGCGAGGGGATGTAGGAGAGGCAGGAGGAGGCAGTTTACGCGGTTTTGCGATGTATGTGCTCATATGCGTCCATCTGTCTAGAACCAGCCAGGCGTCGCGGACCGAAGTCAGCTTTCCTCCAGCGCTGCCAACACCTCTGGAGCATGGCTTGCCCGCCAAGGCCTCAGATTCTCGCGCTCGCCCTTGCGGAGCTCTCGCTCGTGTTATACGCGTAGTTAAGGACCTGCCTCCCTGCTCTTCATGACTTTATCAACATGCGGACGCACACATAATTCATAATTTATCGAATGCAGACGCACATCACTCATGTGTCGACGATCTCGTATTGCGCAATGATATATTCCTGGAGGCTTCGGCGAGTTGGTGGTCGAACTTGCCCTAGACCGGGGAATCCTGGATTATCCTCCACCCTTGCATGCGACCCCGGCAAATTATGCATTGCTTTCGACCCACCCAGCTACCACCCACCCACCACCAGGCCTGCGCCGTGGGCAGAAGGCCTCTTAGAGGCGTCTCGGGGTCTCTTGGATGTCCTCTTTGGGGCCCCTTCTGGGGGGATCCTGGAGACCTCTTGGGAGCCTCCGGTGGCCTGTTGGGCCCACCTTTGGTGGGCCGTGCAGGCGCGCGGGGCCTCTGCGCCCGCATGGTGCGGCCGCTCCTTCCTTTTGGCCTCCCTCTCCGCGGCCACCCTCCTCGCGCCCATGCGCCGTCGTCTGTCGCCGCCGCCGCCGCCTCCGCCTCCTCCGCCTGCTCCTTCTCCTCCTCATCATCATCATCCCCTCCTCCTCCTCCTCCCTTCCTCCTCCTCCTCCTCCTCCTCCGCCTCCTCTTCCTCCGCCTCCTCCTCCTCCTCCGTCTCCTCCTCCTCCTCCGCCTCCTCCTCCTCCTCCTCCTCCTCCTCCTCCTCCTCCTCCTCCCTTTCGCTGTCGGGCATCGATATCATGAACGTTGACGCTCACCTCAAGATCCACAAAGACGGCGCTGCCTTATCAGACAAAGGCCTCAGTGACCACGCGATCCTGCACCTCCTGCTGGTCAACGCTTCGGCGGCGCAGAAGGAGGAACAGGCCATTGATCCGCTCATTTTCCATGACCCCACGTACCAGCGCCATTTCAACTTCCTGAAGGACAACATCGCATCGGCAGCTCTCTCGCCAACTGGAGCCTGGAAGCAACACAAGCTCATCATCAAAGAAGCGGTTCGCCTCACTCGTAATCTTCAACAGCGAGCCACACTACATGATCAAAGCCGCTGGGCGAAGCATGGGAGACTGACTTCACTACGTGCCATTGTTCGGACGGCTTGGCGAAAAGATTCAGATACAGCTGCACTCCTCATGGCCACGACGGACATTGGCGCCGCTCACCTTCGCCTCACCGACAACGGGCCCGAGCTCATCAACAGGGACGAGTACATCAAGATTATGGATGCAGCCGTTACCGCAGACTACGACAGACGCGTCGCCATCACCACAAAGCGCCAGCTGCAGTCCCACGCCGAGATGCAGATGGACCAGGCCGGCAACCGCAAGGCCGCGATGCAGCTCATGCGCCGGGCGCAGGCCTGGAACCCATTTCGTCGTCGCCTCGTACTTTCAGGACTTAGGATACCAAAGGAGGGGACACCCACCAATGCCCTCCCCACCACCAGCTCACCCGAGGGCATTTTCGGAGGTCTTCAGAAATACTGGCAGCCCATCTTCTCGAGCAAGACCGTGGACCCCAACGCGGTCCAGTCGTACTTAGCCCAGCACCTCCCCGTCTTCGATTGCGCGGACCTGCGGGTTCCAGCTCTTCAGGACTTTCAGAGAGCCCTACGTAAGGTACGTCACACTGCCCCAGGCCCTGACCAGATACCTTATGCTGCATGGGCAACCTCTCCAGGCTCCTCGCAGATCTTATATGACCTCATGATGCAGATGTTCGAAACGGGCCTGGCTCCGTTTCAGTTCAACGATTCTGTCTTCGCGTTTCTTCCAAAAGGTGATGAGCCCCAGGACCAATATGCCGTATTTCGAGCTCCAGGTGCCACTCGCCCCCTCTCCCTAAAGAACTGCGACGCCAAACTGATTGCCCACGTCGTGAACATGGGCTTAGTGGATATGGTCAAAGAGAGAACGATAGACACGCAACAGGGGTTCGTAAAGGGCCGTAATTTCGGACAACACGTTCTGACGCTAGATTCTGAAGCCCGTAGAGCAGGCCATTCCCCAGCTGCCCTAGATGCCCTTCCCATCTTAGTCAGTTTCGATATCAAAGCTGCCTTCCCATCCTTAGGATGGGAATTCCTGTTTGCCTCTTTGGTGGCTCACGGAGTCCCCCCAGGGTATCTCAATGTCATTCGGGCGCTTTACCATTCCCCAGGGGCGTGGGCCCGCGTCAATGGCCAGCTTCAGTACATGTTCGAAATCGGCTCTGGGGTGCTTCAGGGCTGTCCTCTTTCAGGATCGATCTGGGCCCTGGCGTTTGATGCCCCCATCCGTCATCTAGTCCAGATTTTAATCCGTCTTCCTGGATCCAACAAGCTCGGTGCCTGCGCAGATGATCTGGGCCTTGTCCTAGCTCGCCTTGGGTCCCTCCCTTTCCTCCTTCCCCCTTTTCGGGCCATTGCTACTTTCGCAGGACTCGAACTTCAGATTCAGAAGACAGTGATAGTGCCCTTGTGGGCCGCCTTCTCACCCGCCGTGCAATCTCTCACTCAGCGCTTGCTCCAATTTCTAGTCCCAGAGTGGCAACACATTCAGATCGCCGAATATGCCCGATATTTAGGGGTACTCATCGGGCCCGCCGTCACTCTAGACATCCAGTGGAAGGCCGCATTTGATAAATACTGGCTTCGAGTGGTGCAGCTTGCGGCGAGCGCACCAGGCCCCTCAGTTGCCATCAAGCTATATAACACATGTGTTATAACTGTGCTATCGTATCTCACGCAATATTTCCCGTTCCCTGCCACATTTCTGAGGCATGAACGTAGCACGCTGCACAAAATTTTACGTGCACCTCCCAACTCCTGGCGCCTCGTCGACCTCCTCGGTACTCGCTCGTGGTCGCCCTCGTCCTCCCCCAATTCACTGGTCACGCTTTCACTCGCAGCTGCATGGCGCACTGCCACTGCCACGCCCCCCGACTGGAAGCCTCTATATCGCGCGCTCGTCCTGGACCAGGACCAGCTCAATCCAGAAATGTCCCTGGCGGAGTTGGGGCAGGCCCATATTCGGGCCACGGTTTCGCCTGCGTTTTGGAAGAGCCCAGGTATCGTCGAATACTGGCGCGAACTTGCCGACGGTCAGCCGCCATATTCCGTCTCACCGCCCATCTGGCGCGCGGCACAGCGCGCCGCAGCAGACGAGCACGCCGCTGCCACCAACGAAGCGCGCCGTTCTAGGGTCCAGCGAACCCTCGCTTCGGTCCTCCACGCCTCCCTCTACCCCGACAAGTTCGCAGAGACCCTAGCGCGCCGCCTCTCGTCGGCTCTTCCAGATGTCGTGTTTCCTCCAGCCCTGTCAACTCGCTGGAAGGAACTATCTGATTTCCTTTCAAAGAAAGCACCAGCCATCCGCTGGGCTGTCTTTAAAACACTAGCGGGAGCATGGTGGACCAGCCACCGATTCCCATTTGGACCGCGCCGCACGTGTCTGCTCGGGTGCGAAGCTTGCCCAGACCGTCTCGGCCACTACCTCACCTGTCCCCGCCTTCTGCACTTCCTCGCGTTACCTCGTTCCTTTTCTCTCCTCGGACCCCCTCGTGCGAATTGGCCTAGGGACGCCAGAGCAACACGCAAACCCAGAGCACTCTATTTCAGAAGCTGTTCGCAGGACAGCCCTTTCATTTCACTTTAACAACAAACTGCGCATCATTACGCACGCCGCGCCCCGCGCCGCGCTTCTTTACACTACAGGCACCGAGTGCTTAGCTGCTGCACGGCACGCGATGCGGCCATAGACGAGACAAGCGGACACGTGGTCACTTGCCCTCTTCTCGCGTCTTGCCCGCTTGCCCTCGTCTCGTCCTTTCCTGGTACGGTCGCTCCTCCTCCTCCTCCTCCTCCTCCTCCTCCTCCTCCTCCTCCTCCTCCTCCTCCTCCTCCTCCTCCATCCCCTCTGCCCCGACCTCTTGGGCGCCTCTCGGGAGCACGGAGGCAGTCTCGGACGCACTCTCGCTGCACAGGCCCCCTGGAGCCCCGTTGGGCCCCCTCCCTCGGGCTCCTCCTTGGGGGGACCCCTAGGGCCCCCAGAGGTCCCGTCCTGGGAGGGAGTGGGGGCCCGTATGGGGCCTATGTGGTTGGGGGGAGTCTTGTCGGGCCGCCTTCGTCATTTCTCGGAGATTGAAAAGGCGAGCTTGCGAAACTCGTTCGAAGCACTGGGTGCGTCGGTGATGCTGGCAGCCTGGGCTAGCTTCTGGGGCTTCCAGGACGGCCCAAGAGGCCTCGAAGCGGCAGGCCCTTGGGAGCGCCCGAGAGCGCCCAGACATCTCTGGAGCTCTGAGGCCGGGGCCCTTCAAAGAACGCTTGCAATCCGAAGTCTAGAGAATTCGAGGGGGCACGAGGACAGTCGGATTCGTGCCTCTCGGCACGGAGGCGCATTACACCCAGGCTCCAAGAGAGGAAGAGAAGGTGGGGGTATGGAGAGAGACAGCTGCCCCACACCCGCGGAGCGAGGGTGGGAAGAAGGGGTCGGGGGGCGGCGCAGGGGGAAGGGCGGGAAGAAAAAGGCAGGTGCAGGGGCAGAGCGAGATGGAAAATGGGAGGAAGCGGAGAAGGACAAGGAGAACCAGGAGCGCAGGGAGGGACAGGACAAGGCAACGACGACGAGGAGCGCGGAGGCGAGGGGGACGGCAGGGACGCCGGCCGCAGCAGATGGCGGAGACGGGGGGCCCGAACAAGCCGCGGAGAGGTCCAGCGCGAGTACGCTGCGCTGCAGCAGCAGATGGCCGCGACCGAGGAGAAGTGCAACGCCGCCGCCGCAGAGGTCCACAAGCGGGACGAGCAGGCGCCGCGTCCTGCCCGACCTCCCTCTTGCTTCCCCGGGCCCCCGCTGCTTTCGCCCCCGTGCGCGGGCCCGTGCAGGGACCCGGGCACGGCAGCACGGGCAGCACGGCCAAGACGCCGATAGGGACCGCTTTGGCCTCAGGAGGGGCCCTGGCGTTCGGGCCGCTCCTACCCCCCCTTACCCGCTTCCCCGTCAGGGAAGGGAAGCAGAGAAAGGGATCGACCTCACTGCGACGTTTCCTTGCTCGGTTCGTTGCTCCAATTTCTTGGGACTGGCGACGACGACGACGACGACGACGACGACGACGACAGCGTCTCACGCACACCGAAGGGTCGGCGGAGTCGTGGCCGAGGCCCGCCGCGGCCACAGAAAAGCCCCGTCGTTCCTCATCCAGCGTTTTCCTGGCGGCAGCGGGGGCTGGCGAGCCGGGGGGGGGGGGGGCCGGGTGCGGGCAGGGCCGCTGCCCGACGGAGGGGGAGCAGGGCGGGGAGAGGGGACCCCCTCGCGTCGTCACAAAACCACGGCGGGAGGTCTTGTGCCGTTTTTCAGCCTCCGGGGACCCTCGCTGGGTCTCGGGGCCGTCAGAAAGCGACTCAGGACAAGAAGCTGGTCCCAGGGAAGGGGTCGAGATCTCTGGGGGTCGACGCTGTGACGAAATCACGACGTCGGGGTTCTGGGGAGAGGGGAGGGAGCCCAGCTCGTCAGTCCACCTGCCCCGGGCCGCCATGGGCCAGCACACCGCTCTGCTGCCGTCGCCTCCACCGCGGGGCCGAGGGGAGGGCAGGGCCTGCCTCGCTATCCCCCTCCGACTGGTGCCTCCCTTATCCCCCTTTTCTCCTTCATCCTCATTTCCCCGTCGTCGTTGGTCCCCCCCATCGGTGCTCGTGTCCTCCTCGTCGTCGTCGTCGTCATCCGAATCGCACGGCATTCCCGAGTATGCAGGATACTCTGAGCGAAATCCAGATTTGATTTCGCTTCCGCCCTGAGTACACTCGATGATGGACCCGCAGCTATGGGGGAATCGAAAAAGGGAGTGGCGAAGGCTGGGGACCTCCCTGACCCCTCTTCGGCAATGCGTCGGGCGAACATTGGATGGGCAGCGTCGAGACATCACCAAGAATAGCGGGCAACACGTCGGGTGAATAGCGACGTGGTCGGGCAGTGCGATTGGCAATTTCGGGCCGCACCCCAATCCCCTGATGAGCTCACCCACCGCTTCTTCCTCCCACGGACGAGCCCGCGCCCCCAGCCTGGCCCACACCGCCCCCTCGAATGAGCGGCTCGCTGGGGCGAGGGGAGGGGCATCAGCCTCACACGCCTGCTGACACCAAAGGGGTTGGCAGTGCGTGGGGCGCAATCTGGATGCCAGCGTGCAGTGGTCGGTTTTCGTGGCCGTCCTCTCCAGCCAAGCGGGGGGCATCTTCCCCGAATGTGCTCCCACCCGTCTGCCCCCTGTGCCTCTGCCACCTCTTCCCCCTCTCTGCCCACTCCACCACTGCCCCTCCCACGCTGGACCTCCCTCCCAACCCCACATGCCCCCATCCTCCCCGCCCGCACTCCCCACACCCGCACCCATCTCCCCTCTCTTGCCCCCATCACCACTTTTGCCCCGCTTCACTCGCCCCCTTCACCCTTCGCAATTACACCGTATGAGTACTACTGCCGCCTTGTCCATGTTTCATCTGTACATTCGTACATGCATGCATGCATGCATACAGACATACGCACATACACACATGCAGGCATGCAGGCATGCATATATACATGCATATACACGTACGCACATACATGTATACAGTCCTTCGTGTCTACATGCATGCATGCATGCATGCATGCATGCATGCATGTATACATGCACGCATGCATACATTCATACATGCATACATACATGCATACATACATACATGCATACCTACCTATGTGTATAGACACACGTGTATGCATCTATATATATAATATATATATATAGATGTATGTATACACATGTTGCCCCAGTAGCATTCCGGATTCCGCATGTCCCGCGTATGCGTATCACCGGGTTTCAACAGTCAATCGTTTATAGCGATGTTTCGATGGGAGGGTCCTGGGTCTTTCAATAGTTGTTATCTCGATGCAGCGCTGGTCTCATTTTAGGCTCGGTGATTTGCTCCCGTCGTTCTGAATGTCGCTTTCGCCCCAGCGAGAACCGCGTTGCTGGATCCGATTCCTTCCTCGTCGTTGCCGCCCCCTCCTTTCCCCTCCTCCGTCTTTCGCTGATCAGCCTGCACCTCTTACTCCTGCTCCTGCTGATCTTCTTCCTCCTTTTCCTCCTCCTCCTCCGCCTCCTCCTCCTTTCTCCTCCTGCTCATTCGCCCATTCCTCTCCCTCCCTCTCCCAAATACAAAGGCCCCCTTCCTGACTGCGCATCAGGGCCATGTGTTCGGGGACACCCTGCGGCTACAAAAAGCTCAGCGCAGTGGACAAAGATGGGTGGGAGGGATCGCATGTCAGATATGGCCACAGCGCACCTGGCTTGCCCACTCCTCTCCCCCAAACTCCTCCCCTTCCACCCCTCCTCCTCTTCCTCCTCGTCCTCCTCCTCGTGCTTCCTCGCCCCTTCGTTGATCTGCGGCCACGGCCTCCACGCCATGCCCTACCATGGGCACGAGCGGGCCCCCCAGCGGGGCACGTTCAACTTCCACGCTCGTCCCGCCTTGCACTTCCGGCCTCCCCCTTCCCCATCCCCTCCAGCCCGCGCTTCCTCCTCCTCCTCGTCACCTCTCCCTCCCCCGCGGGCCCTCCGACCCCCCCCCCCTCCTCCGACGTAGCGGCATTGGCGCGCGTTGGCGTAACGATACGGTCATACGGAGTTGGCGCGCCGGCGACGCAGGGCGAAGGCATCCGAGGTTGAAGTCTGGCGCCCTTGCGCGCGTTCGAGCTTGAACGATCTGGTTTCGCACGTTCGCTGGTCAGGCCACAGGACTCGGCGGAATTCAACCTCGCAAGATCGGGGCCGCGATCGGACCAAGGCCCAACGATCGATGCGGTGTCAGCAGCCTCTGCGCGTGCCGACGCCGCACGAACCTACAGCTGGCACGAGGGTCAAGAACAACTCCAAATTTGGAGGGATCTGCTCTTCGTGTCTGCTGCGTGTTGTGGCTCTCCACCTTGTAACGCCTTCGTCTGGGATATCTCCGCGATGCACCGGGCCTTCCGCGAATGGGCTCGTGTTCTTGACCTACGTTCTTGTGGCCATGTTCCGACTACACCGCAGCACTTTATTTCGCGACGTCGGCCCCCCCAGGATTCTCGACCCCTCCTCGGGGCCGGCTCTGCACCACGAGTCGCTCCTTGCCCGCCCCTGGGCGGAGAGAGGGCGCCTCTGGACGACGAGCGAGCCGCACACCCTGGCCGCCGCAGGTTGCTTTCTGCGACGCCCGGACCTGTCGGGGGCGGCCAGGAGTCAGCCACGCGCAGAGGGGGGGCAGGGTGAGGGGGAAGGGCTTCTCAGAAGCACCCTGTCTCCTAGGAGGCACGGGCCCTACCTGCAGCTGTAATTACAGCCAGCGCCTTCTGAGAAGCAGCAGCCTCCTTCTGAGAAGCCTTCCCCTCTCCCCCCCGCCCCCTTGTGCGCGCCGCCAGAGCAGGGGGGCGATCACTGGGGGTGGGATGTCATAGCCATCTCCCCGGATTTCATGGCCCCCCCTGCCAGGGCTCGAGCTAAGCAGTGTTGAGGCGATGTCGTGGACCGTTTTCGTTTTGATGCCGTTTTGCAGCAAAGGCGGAAAAAAGTACAGAACGAGGGAAAACGGAATCCACACGAACACGGAAAACATTATTTATTTGCAGCCCAGCCCTTTGTTGTTTTCTATGTGTTCCTTCCCCCCCCGCCCTCGTCCGCGCACGTGCCCCTGGTCATAGGGCGCGCCCCCGCCCTCTGGGACGCCTCCGAGTCTAAGAGCGCCCCTCCCCCGTTCCGCAAGATCCGCGTGCTGACGGAGCAGAACCGTTCGCTCCTGGAGATGCTGGAGCACGAGGAGAAAGAGAGCAAGGAGCGCCCATGCGCCCGCAGATTTGCGGCGTGTGCGGCGGCACGCTCGAGTGTGGAAGAATGCAGGGAGGAGGAGGAGGAGGAGGAGGAGGAGGAGGAGGAGGAGGAGTCAGGAGGAGGAGGAGGAGGAGGGAGGAGGAAGAGGAGGAGGAGGAGGAGGAGGAAGAGAAGAGGGATGAGGAAAAGCAGGAGGAGAGGGAGGAGGAGGAGGAGGAGTAAAAGCAGGAGGAGGAAGAGGAGGAGCAGCAGCAGCAGCAGGAGGAGGAGGAAGAGCGGAGGGAGGAGGACGAAGAGGAAGAGGATCGGTTGGAGGAGGAGGAGGAGGAGGAGGAGGAGGAGAAAGATGGGGACTCGAGACTCAAGACGTGGCGGGGTCCGCGCGTTGGAGCCAAGTCCAAGCATAAGGAGGAGGAGGAGGAGGAGGAGAAGGAGGAGGAGGAGGAGGAGGAAGGGAAGAGGAAAGGAGGAACAGGAAGAGGGAGGTGGAGTAGGAGGAGGAGGAGGAAGAGGAGGAAGTCGAAGAGGAACAAAACTTTATAAACCTGCACTTTCGGCTGTCCGCGCGGATTTCGTAGTTCGGCGCTGGGCCCCACCTGGCTGCGCCTCCGGCGCCGCTCCTAGCGCGTGAAGCGCTCCAGGGAGGAGAGCATTGCGCCGACCCCAGAAATCTACGCCGACGTCCGAAAGTTGATGTTTGTGCAGTTCATTGCTCCTCTAAGGAGGAGGTGGAAGAGCACGACGACGATGACAATGACGAGGCCGACGAAGGGCGGCGAGGGCGGCTTGTCGAGGGCAACGTTCAGTGTGCCCGAACTGGCGTCTTGAGCCTCTCCTCCATCAACGCATCCCGGGCCACGGCGGCAGGTTGAATAGTAACGCCTTCGGCTGTCTGCAAGGCGGCAGGCGGTGGGGGATGCATCGGGGGCGCTCCAGGAAGGTCTTCGCCTTCGAGGATTGAAGGAGCTGTCATCTCTTTCTCGGCGGAAGGCCAGCGGAAGGTCGGTGAAAGTAACACGGGGGCAGCACCGCCGGCGGAAACTGGCAGAAGGTTGGCGGAAGGTGGCGGAAGTAAAAGGTTGTTCGCCAAGAGATGAAAGCATATTTGGGCTCAGGGTTTCTGGAATCGGCGGCCATCTGGTGAGGTGGTTCACCGCCATGGGGTAACAGCTGTTGGTACTTTCAAACGGTCGTGGTTGTATTCCGCGCGTTGGACTGTGCCCGTTGACCTCTGGATAACCACCACGGCGACCCCGACAGACTAAGGCAGACAGAGCTGTGACCAGATCGACGGGACCTTCTGGGCAACCACCACCGAAACCACCACCGAAACCCGGGCAGACGAAGGTTCTTGCGGCGGGGACCCCATGGGTAAAGCCCCAGAGGCGACCACTTCCGCAGGATTGGCAATGCGGCCAAGTAATGTACGGACCGTGCAGCTGGGATCCCATAGGGACAGCAATCACCACCGCAGCAATGGCAGGCACGCCAGTAAGGCCGGGATCCTATGGGCGAGACCCAAATCGGCCATCACCACCGCAACCTTCTGTAGCGCTACGGTCGGGAACTTTTGGATAGCGTGTCGCTCCGCCAGTTCTGGCCCACCGCGCCTCGGCGCGACACGCCATCCACTCCGCGGTACCCAGGCATCCACCTGGCGGCGCCTGCGGCGCCCGCCCTGGCGCGCTCCGCGCGCCAGAGAGGGGGGTCCAGCGCCGATGCAGGAAATCCGCGCGGACCTCGGAGAAAACTTGTTCCGTCGGTGGCGAGGCAGAATAGCTGCACCAGCGATAGAGCTAAAAGGGGGCACCGAGAAGCGAATTGGCCAGCGTGCAAAAGCAGGACAAGGCCAGAGGGAGCGGCCGCGGAGGGGGGAGAAAGAAAAGGCCACTCAGAGGTGGAAGAGTTCTCACCTGAGTGCGCTGGCGCGGCCGGCCCCGTCAGCGGGATCCATGGCAGCTGCTGGGCCGCGGCACCGGGGCACCCACGGGCGATGACGAGGCCCAGTACGTGGCAAGCATGTAAACACTGCAGCGTCCTGCCGATGAAGTAGGCGATGCACTTGGTCGACAGAAAGAGGGCCGCAGGGCCGCCCAGGTGGGTGGCATGTGCCAAGGTACGGCAAGTCCTCCGTGAAAACATGTGTATGCCGTTGTTCTGTTCCTCTGCATGAGCAACCTTCACAGAAACCTTGGCAGATGCGGGCCAGCAAGGCCGAGACCCCACGGGCGGGACTGCATGGTCAACCATCACCGCCTGTGGACAGACGCAGTCCAGTCCTGGACCTGATGGGCGAGACCCCATGGCCGACCACGACACCTTTTTGGTCAAACTGAAACGGCCGGGAGAAGCAATAGGAAAACGCGGTACACCCTCTCGCGTTTCTCCAGCCGTGCCTCCAGGAGCAGCCAGGAGCAGTCATTCACCGCCACTGCCGTGCAAGCAGGCAGCGAACCACTGATGCCTCGGGCGCCAGGAGCCCCACGAACGGCTCCAGCGCGGCGCGGCACTCCCGAATTTGGCGCCACAATTCCAGCAGCAGCAGCAGCAGCAGCACGTCTTGCCAGGAGGGGCACAGGCTGGTCTTCCCTCCCCTCCCTTTGCGCGCCACTGCGTCTCTGCCCGTTCTCCGCCTGCGCTCCGCCGCCGACGCCCTTCTGCTTCTCAGCGTGGCGCTTCCTGCTCGCATCTGCTGCTCCGTGCTTAGAGGCGGTTCGGCTCCCTGGCGCCACCACCTCGAGGATTTCGGGGCTGACCGCCGATGCCAAGCCTCGCGCCTCCCCTGTCAGGACCGCTTACGATCCGATTCAGTGCGATGCGATTCGCTGGCTGGAGCCGCGATTCCGATTCGATCTGGTCCGGCTCGGTTCATCGGCATCGGTTTGGGCCAGCCGGATGCCGGGCGCGACGATCCGATTTCGGGTCGATCTGTTGGCGATCCGATCCGTTTCCGATCCGATCCCATGTCGTGATTCGACCCAGCTCGGGCCTGCCCGTCCACCGCACCTTCGGGTCTGAGGCTTGTCTCGCTGCCACGCCGACACGCCTCGAAGAAGACCAAACTGCATAAGCATGATCTTACGGGGACCCCGGGCGGATTCTTTAGGTCGGCGCCCGCCGTTCCAAGAGATCGGCGCGGACCTGTACGTTTATGCATACTTGTAGGACTTCGGACAATCTCAACAGTCTCCGTTGCATCCTCCGTGGCCTCTCAGTTCCTGCTCGACGCGTAAGCCTCCATCCACACCCCGTAGAGTCACAGGAGAAGCAGCAGCACGTGGACGAGCTGACCCACGAGTCCCATAGACTCCAGAAGATATCCGACCAGTACGACAAGGTCAAGGACACAGGCTGCCATCACCGGCAGGAGGAACAGACATTTGTCAGAGGAAGAAAAATACCGATACCGATACCGATACCCGTTCCTCGCTTAGGCCTTCTTAGGCCTCCTGGGAGGCCCTCGTCGCCACGGCTGGATTCTCTCCGAAATTCTGGTCAGAACGCACCTTGGGAGACGCCAGGAGAGCAGCGGCATTAGCAATTCCAATTTACAGCAGGTAAGATGAACAAGTGCAGCAGCAGGTGAGAGCGGGGAGAACAACGACACAGAGCAAGGAGGATGGGGGCGGTGTTGATTTCGCTGCTGAGGACAACTCTGGCGGGTCGGCGGCGTGAAGTTTCTGCGAAGCCGCCCCAAGCAGGAAATCGCAGCTTCCCGCTTGGTGTCGTGATGCGCATGCGAATTCAGCCGCGAAGGTCGATGTCCCTTGGCCCGGTTTGGGACACACTGCTTTGCCATTGCTGTTCTTGGCAGGGGCAGTGCAGGGGCGCCCCGATTGGGGCCAGCTTGAGCCCCGACACCGCCCCAGCGGTCTTCCGATGCTCTCCTCCCGCTCCCTTTAGAGCATCCACTCGCCCTCGCTCTGACGCTGGTTGTGGCCGACGGTGGAGTGGCGGCGGGCGAGCAAGGGGAGGGTGGCGGACGCAGGAGCGAGAGGGGAGGAGGAGGAGGAGGAAGAGGAGGAGGAGGAGGAGGAGGAGGAGGAGGACGAGGAGGAGGAGGAACGGATGGTACGGAGGAGCATCAGCAGCAGCATCACCGGGGGCAGGACAAGGAGGAAGAGGAGGAGAAGGAGGACAAGGGTCCCCCCTTTTTGCCTGAGAGGTAACCAGCAGCTCACCGGCGCCTACACAGAGATCGCAAAGTACGAGGAGGATCTTTGCGAGCGCGGTTGCCCCAACCGCCGCCATGCCTCTGCTGCTGCCACCTTGAGCGCAGGCAAGGCCACTGCTATCACCGCTGTCGCTGCTGGTCCCTCTCCTCTTCGTCCTGCTCTTCCGCCCCCCCCCTCTCCTCTCATCCGCCTTCTCTACCTCCTCCCCCTCCTCCCCATCCTCATCCTCCTCAGCCTCCTTCTCATCATCACACTTTTCGGCACTCCTCTCTTTCCGAGAATGCCACTCCTGATCGTTCGCTCCTACCCCACACGTCCCGTTCCTTTTCTGGCCCCATTTCGCCCACACTCTCATCTACCCCAACTCTACTCCCCTCCTGAAAACCCTCCCATACATTGTCGTGATTACCACGTCTGTGCATCTTGTGCGGAAGGTGTCCAAGCGAGGTGGAGGTATCAAACATTAAATTCTTGACGTAATATTGGTTGGCGTCGCGGTTCTTAGCAATAAAATTGGATCCCAGGTATTTCATGCACGCGTACTTCCAGCCGCTTTGGTATTGCAAAGGGTACGTCACATGAGGCTACGGACTCCTGCGCAGGCCGATAGCGGCCCGACCCGCCCCAGCTGGCGGGATGCCCCCACGCGTATGTCCGTCCGTCCGTCCCATGCATCGTGGTGTCCTTGGCCATACCTGCCGCCAGGCTCAGTCCAACGAGCATTTTTCATCCAAGTCTAGACGCATACCATGCAGGCATTTTTCGACGGGAAGACACTGCGTGGATACAGCCTGTAACACGTACCTGACGTGTCATGGGGGATGGTTTGCCGAGAATCCCCACTACCCTCCCCCCCGCTCACTGTGCATGTCCCTCCCCCTCCGTGCCTGCTCACATTTTCCTCAATGCTTGGGCCCGCCCTGCGCCCGACTCCCATCCCAACCCATCCCGTTTCCTCCGAGCCTTGACATCTTTTCCGCTCCTGTTCTCTCCACCTTCCCTAGCCTCGCCCTCCTGCATCCCTTCCCCGCACCTCGTGTTCTCAGTCCTTGCCTGGTCAGCCGCCCGCCTCTCAGGAAATGCGCAACGCGTCGATGGAGACGGAGCAGCTGCGGGAGGCCGAGAGGAACTTCCAGGCGCAGGCCAAGGACACGCGTGCATTTCAGGGGAGGAAGTTCTGAGTTGCTGGCTCGTGCCCGCGGAGGCCCGAGTGGAGAGAGGCGTGACGGTTATGTGAAGTGAGGCCCGGCGCGGATGGGCGGGCACAGTGGGCGAGGAGTTGCAGCAGCAGGAGCGGGAGCAGGCGGCGGAGCAAGCACGGGAGCCGGAGGAGCAGCAGCAGGGGGTGGATCACGACGACGACGACGACGATGACGACGACGACGACGACGACGACGACGACGACGACGACGACGACGACGACGACGGCGACGGCGACGGCGACGGCGACGGCGACGGCGACGGCGACAGCGACGGTGAGGGCGACGACGGCGACGGCGACGGCGACGGCGACGGCGACGGCGAGGGCGACGACGGCGACGGCGACTACGACGACAACGAGACCATGATGAGAGGCAGCAGCAGGAAGAGGAGCCCTCTACTGTGCCGCGCCACCAGATAGACGTCGAGACCCTGGAGAACAAGCTGAGGGAGTCCAAGGACAAGAACGTGCAGAAGCTGCAGCAGATTCAGCACAACGAGGCCAAACAGTTACAAATAAAGGAGGAGGTATCCCCGTCGACCCTCCCCACCCTCGCAGAACTTTCCACGCTGCTTGTTCCTCAACGAAGGGGTTATGATTCAAGGTTTGCGTGTGTGGACAGCGTCAAGATTGGAAAGAGCGGGATGATTTGACAAACCGCCTCCGCTCCCCCTCCTCTATGATCATCCTTCCGCACTTTTTCGTGCCAAGATTTCTCGCTGTCCCACTTTCGGAAGGAGCCAGATGCTTTGTATCGACCCTTGCGATCCTGTCCCCAGGTCCCCATGTCTCTCCGGCGATCCCGTTTTCCCGTCTTCGGGCTTCTGGACTCTGGAAGAACCCATGGGTCTAGGTGGCTTACCCTGAATGGTTAGCAGTCTCTGCTCCGCGAGACTCCAGGTTCCTCGTCACTGTTAGTGCGAGGTATGCCTGCAGACGGGCACGAGATTGAGGGGCCCAGCGAGATCGACTTCTCCATTCTATCATTCCATTATACTATTGCTCAAGTCTTGACATGTTCGCTCGCATGGGCCTCGCGCGCGGCCCCGTTGCAGCGATCGCGGCCGGGGTCATCCACGGGCTGGTGGCGCTTGGAGCCTGGCGGGTTGCGCCCCCGCCGGTGTGCCCTCGGCCCGTCTGCCCGGCGGCCCATTGCCCCGCGCCCACGGGGCTCGGCCCGCCTGGCGGGGATCCGCCCGCGGGTCCTGCGGCTCTCTTGGCTGAGTTGCCCGAGGAGCTGGCGGAGGTTCGCGCTGCGGCCGCGCGATTGGACGACCGCCGCGCTGTGCTGCAGGCGACGGCGGACGCGGTGACGAGCTTCTGGCCCCTGATCTGGGTGCTGATTGGGGGGCTCGTGAAGGACACCCTCAACAGGATCCGCCAGGCCCTCGCTCGCCGCCGCGATGCTGTCCGCGAGGAGGTACCAGCTCTTCGCGGCGGACGGGAGCGTCGTGGGCGAGCCGGCCTTTATGAGTGAGATGAGGCCAGGCCGCCGTTTTGCCCTGTGGTATTCAGATGATACATACTGGCACGAGAGAGTTGCCCTGGCGTATGTGCGACCAGGAGTGTGGGTCATCACCACCCCAAACGGCGACAGGTATCCCGAGAACCTGCGATGCCGTCGGGGTACCAGCGGCGCGGTTCAGGCGGTTCTGGTGGATCCAGGGCAGCCCGTTCTGGATCGCATGCGCAGGCGCTTCTACCGTTTCAAGGACCCGCTGGAGCCCTCGGACTTGGTGGAGCAGGTCAAGATGGCCGAGGCGGAGAGCTACGCTATCACGCGCCGTGCTCCTGCGCCGCCGGCCGCCATCATGATGTGGGACGGCACGGACGTGGAGTACGAGCCCCTGATGGCCTCGGAGGGCGTCCAGCTGGTGCCGCTTGGCGGTGGCGGAGCGCCTGTCCACGGTGAGGAGCCGGCGCCGGCCCCCTTGCCGCCGCCTGAGCTGCCGCCAGATGCGACCTGGCTCATCGTGGACCCGCACCATCCCGACTTCGGCCGAGAGCGTCATCCTGGCCCGGATGCGCCCCGAGCGGGAGAGTACGCGATCGCGCTTGACGCGCGGAGGAGGCCAGTACCCGTCCGACAGGTCGCGCTGGCGGACGTTGAGACGTTCATGGCATCGGCGCGGACAGGGATCGCCAAGATCTTGGAGAACGAGGCCGGCCCGGTCACGGGGCATCTGGAGGAGCGGCTTCACCACGCGCTGGATGGCGGCACGAAGACGCCCCCCATCGTCGAGGACGCGAGGACGTTGACGGTTGACTACGATGAACACGGAGGACGATACAAGGAGTGGAGATCCGTATGTGCCGAGATCTCGTATAGCCATTTTGGCAACTGGGATAAGCACCACGAGGGGCCCGCCACCACGTTGGCTTTGTTCAAGACCATTCAGAGACAAGGCGGTGACCCCCGGTTGTGGTACGCCAGCTGGTGTCGCGAGGCCGGCGTCAGCCCGCAGGAGAGAACGGGCATCGAGATGAAGCTCTTGACCGATATATTGTACCCCAGTGGCTGCTACGACCAGGTGAATGGTCCCTCGCTCGCGTGCATCGAGACCGTAGCTCGCCGTGTATGTCAGATCATCGAGGCCTACTCGACGGGCGTGCCTGGCCGTGCCAACTGGGAGGGCGTGAAGCATTTCACCCCGGTGGCTTCAGCATCATCTGTGGCCCCTGCTGAGCTACGTTCCCACACGCATCGCCGGGCCAAGGAGGAAATGGAGATCGAGAGCATGCGGGTGCGCACGCGGGGCCTGCAGCCGCCTGGAGGGCCAGGGGCGGCGCCGCCTGGCGCGCCCGTCAACCCGGAGGGCACCCCGAAGGGCGGCGGTCGAGGCCGCGGCCAGCCTGGGCAGGGAGCTGGCCAGGAAGGCAGCGGGAAGGTGCCCCTGGCGCCACAGGGGTGAGTTACTGGGCCAGCGGCGAGGGTGGTCGACTCGACGCTGGAGGCCCAGACCAGGCGGTGTCCGATGAGCGAGTGAAGCGCGTCAGTATGCTGCCTCTTTTTCCTCTTCCCCTCTCCCAGCTGCCGCCTATGCCGAGTGGACGCGGCCGACAGGCGACAGGCCTGCGAGGCCATTTGCGACGTCTAAATGCGGATGTTAATGCAACTTTGAAGGCTTTGAATTGGATGGCGGGTGACCGACATAAGGCCTCCTATGGGCCCCCAGTCACCTCAGAGCAGGCCAGTGCGCAGGCGCGCGTCCGGGACAGGATTTCGCCCCTTTTGGGTTCCGGCGTTGCGATCCCTGGCCAGCGAGCGGCTCTCCTCGAGCTGCTGCACGGCCAGGCTGTGTACGATACAGAGCCCGGTGGACACAACCTTGCCAGGTTCGCCTACGTTGCCTCTGTGAGCCTTCCTGACAACCTCGAGGGCGCCCCGATGGTGCGAGATGTTGTTGGCCCAGAGGCGAGCCAGTTTTTGGAGCAGAACTACGAGCGCATGCTGCGCCCTCTCTCGGATTTCTTGGAGCGACAGGAGTCGTTGCCCCCTATAGGGCCCTACTGGGACCCTGCGCTGGCTCGTAGTCGTCGCAAGCTCCTGCGGCTCATGCGAGCCCTCCTTAAGGTTGGTCTGGTGATGCTGCTGCCTGCTGGATCAGCCCATAGGCATGTTTTTGTATAAAAAGGCAACAAAAAAAAAGAAGAAGAAAAAAAAAAAAAAAAAAAAAAAAAAAAAAAAAAAAAAAAAAAAAAAAAAAAAAAAAAAAAAAAAAAAAAAAAAAAAAAAAAACGTCTGATAATAGACGCACGACGTGCGAATCGCCGTTTCGCTGAGCCCCCTGGAGTTCACCTTTGTTCTAGTGAGAGCCTCGCAAGGATTGAGGTCATTTTGCCAGGCTCAGTTTCCAGTCTCTCTCCCGAACAGCTAGCTCACTGGCGCCCAGATGTCTCTGGGGCCGGCGGATGTGAAAGACGCGTCCCATCGTTTCCGTATTCCGAGTGGTCTGGCCAGTTACTTTGGGTTAGGATCGGCTACGGCGGGGGAGCTGAGCGTCGTTGGCCAGAACCTTGATGGGGTCCCCTGGGGCGTTGACGACCAGGTCGATATCTGCTGGGCCTCTTTGCCGATGGGTTTCTCTTGGTCTCTGTACTTCTGCCAGCAAGCGGGTGAGCAACGTATGGAAAAGCGCCCCAGGGCTCACGACCTCGACCCTCCTCCAGGACCGCGGGGCGCCAGGGCTTTTTCGGTTCTCGGAGCGCTTCGACCCGTCTACTGGGACCTCTGCGGTGGAGGGTTCGTGGATCTGCCATTATATCTATGTGGACAACCTGGGTGTGATTAGCTGCGACCCTGTCAGTACTTCGTCGACGTTGTCGGACGCCTCGGATCGGTTCGAGAAAGTTGGCCTGAGGACCCACGAGCACGAGGTGACCTCAGGCAAGTCGAAGGCTCTGGGGACTCACTTGGATCTGGAGGGCTTTCGTGTGTCCCTCTCGCCTGCCCGTCTCTGGAAGGTTCGACAAGGGGTGCTGTGCGCCTTGAGGTGCCGGAAACTTCCCGGACGCGCGTGGGAGGCGCTGCTTGGTCACCTCACGTTCTGCGCCCTAATCAACAGGAACATGATGAGCGTGTTTAGGAGCATCTACGCATTCATTAACAAACATCATTGTGTGCCCACAGCCTTGTGGGAGACCGCCCGACAAGAGATGACCGCCGCCGCGTCCTTGCTGATCGTGATGGATGCCTCTTGGACTCTCCCCTGGGCCCCTAGCGTGGTGGCGACAGACGCGTCTGAGGAGGGGTTCGGGGCTACCGTCTCTTATTGGGCCCCTGATAAGGTGGCTCAGGTGGGGAGGATCATGGAGAGGAGACGCTTCAAGAGGCTTCCTGGGGTTTCGGCGCGGGAAAGATTTTTCGGCAGCTTGGAGGATCTTGGATCGGATGGAGAGGGGCCCGATGACGATCAGCCCTACTTGGTAGACTCCGATTTCCCCGAGGTCCCACACAAGCAGCTCTCCAAGGCCAATTGGGACACCCTCTTAGCAGGTCCCTGGAAGTACTTGGACGAGGGCATCTATACCCTCGAGTCGCGGGCCCTCCTTCTGGGCTTCCAGGCGGTGGTCAGTACCCATCATGTTCGTGATGCTAGATTGTTGTTCTTGGTCGATAACATGGGAGTCTGCCTGTCTTTCGCACGAGGTCGTACCACGGACTTCCGCTCTTTGATGTGCATGCGGAAGACGGGGGCCTGGTGTCTCAGTTTGGGTATTCGTGTACATTTTCGTTGGATACCCTCTGAATGGAATTCAGCAGACAAACCATCACGAGCTTTCTCAGTAGAACATGGTGGCTCTTCAGATTTTCCTGTTGGTGTTTATCATACTCCAGTCGAGCCAGATTCCGACGAATGCAGCAGGACTGATGCTTCGGGGAAGGCCTCCAAAAGCCAAGCTCCGCCCGAAGGCCAAGCTGACCGGTCAACCCTCGGGGTCAGCGTCCGCCCCAGCTCCCCCGACATCTTCGAGAGCGCCGGTGCCGGCGGCGAGCCCTCCGTCGGCGAGCGCCCCGAGGCAGGCCAGGCTGCTGGCCCCGGGCGGCGAGCTGTCTTCACGATTGATGACAGCCGACCGCCTGCCGCCGGCGGGCAGACCTCTGGGCAACAGCTCAGACACAGAGGCGACGGGGGCGGACAGGACCAGCGACAAGACATCCGACACCGATCGGATCGTGGTCAGACCTCGGCGCCGCGCTCGCAACCTGGAGCTCCCTCGACCGAAGCGGCCCCGAGTTCCAGTGGGACCAGATCGGCTTCAGGGACTCGGACTGCTGCCCTTGGAGTCCAACGCGGCGAAGGCCACCACGGAGAACCAGCACCACGAGCTGGTGACTCTATGGCGGTCCAACGCACGCGACCTCGGCGAGCCGCTCGGCGAGGCTGCCGAGGTGGACGCCTCAGTGGCGCGGCAGCTTCAAGACTTCTTCGACCAGGGCGAGAACGTCAGCAAGGGCGAGAAGCTCGCGGCTGGTCTGGAGCACTTCCTGCCAGAGTTTGGCCGACATGGAGGGCTTCACCTCTCACGAAGCTACCGCGCCCTCCGGGGCTGGAGGCGCCGGTGCCCACCTCGGTCGCGTCGTCCCCTCGCATTTTGCATCTGGGTGGCGATCATCTGGGAGTTCTGCCGGGACAACCTTTGGAGCATGGCGGTCTACACTCTGTTTATGCTGGTGACGTACATGCGGCCGTCGGAGCCGCTGAAGCTGCTGAAGGAGGACCTGCTCGCTCCCGCCCACGGCCTCTCTGCCTCATGGATCTGCTTTGCTTTTCGCCAAGAGCGGGGTCAGTCTTCGAAGACCTACGCCACGGACGAGAGCATCGAGCTCAGTTGCCAGTGGGTCCCTTTCCTTGCGACCGTGGTGACTGCCCTCAAGCGTGGCCGCCCGAAGGAGAAGGTTTTCAGTTTCCTCTACAGCTCGTACACGCGCCAGTTCAAGACAGTGTGTCGACGGCTCGGACTAACTGCGGCGCCATATCAGGCAAGGCACTCAGGCGCCTCCATCGACGCCGCAATGAAGTACAGGACGAGAGCCGAGATAAAGGCTCGCGGCCGATGGAAGGCGGACAAGTCAGTGCTCAGGTACGACAGCAAGGCCAAGATAGTCGAGAGTGTCGACAAGCTGCCCGACTCGTTGGCGTCTCACGTCAGAATGTGCGAACTCCGACTCGGGGACCTTTTGTGCGGCCAGATCGACCCCTCGGCCATCGCACTGCCCGACATCCCGAGCTCGGCCCCAAAGAAGCGACACCGTACCTAGCCGACCTGATTGGAGGCACAGGAGGTGTTGGGCGAGCCGCGGGGCGATACGGTATTCGTGCTAGGCTGTGGGATATTTCAATTTCTAAGTCTTTGGATCTGACGGATCTGAAGAATATCGATTTGCTTCGCTCAGAGGCTGCGGCAGGACGAATTGTTGCTGTCATGATAGCCATTGAGTGTCGGTCTTGGGGCATCGCTCGCCACAGGACGAATTGAATTCGATCTCGAGAGGAGCCCTGGGGTGTTGCCAGACAGTCAAGCCTTTCTCGGAGAACGACACCAAAGCTCTACAGAGTGGTAACCTCCAGGCCCGACGAGTTCTCCGACTCTCTAGAACTATACAGTTCTTGGGTACCCCTTGGGCTATTGAAAACCTCATACAAGTCTCCTGTGGCACACCCCAGAGCTCAAATACTTCGAAAAGGACCCGAAGGTGCATGTGAAGATAGTTGACCAGTGTGCCTTTGGAACTGCCTGGCGCAAGCGTACTCGTGTAATGTTCGGAAACTGCGACGAGATAGATGTCTCCCTGTGTGATCAGTACGTTTGTGCCGGCCGAGGTGCGTGCCAGTTTTCAAACAAACGTCATGTCGAAGACCTCGAAAGCCCAGGTTTACCCACCCAAGTTTTCCCACCTCCTGGCCAAGATCTTGTGCAGTGGTTATGTGTATGGCCGCGCTGTCTATCCATCAACTCGTAAGCTCACATCCACTTGGGAGGACGATTCGGGAGACGAGGCAGTCAGTTGTTCAGGAGTATAGACTCCAAAGCCTTGCCGTTCCGAGAGAGCCAGCGCGTGATGACGGTGGCTGAGTTGAAGAGACACAAAGCTGACAAAAAGAGAGTGCAGGTCCCTCATGTTAGTGCGAAGTATGCCTGCAGACGGGCACGGGATTGAGGGGCCCAGCGAGATCGACTGCTCCATTCTATCATTCCATTATACTATTGCTCAAGTCTCCCGCCCCCCTCTCCCTCTCGCTTCTGTGCCGATCTCGTTTCTGACCTACGTCGCCTCCGAGACGAGGCAGTCAGTTGTTCAGGAGTATAGACTCCAAAGCCTTGCCGTTCCGAGAGAGCCAGCGCGTAATGACGGTGGCTGAGTTGATGAGACACAAAGCTGACAAAAAAGAGAGTGCAGGTCCCTCAAGGAATCTTCTTTCCAGCGATGCGGGCTCCATGCCTTTCCGCGGCGGCCAGGCTTTCACAGCACCAGCACTTGGCGATGAAGGCACGCACCTATCAGGCATCTTGAGAAAAGCGTCAACTTTCGTGGACTCCAGGTTTCGCTTAAGAAAGCCAAGAACCTGGACTGGACCCTGCGCGTTGTCGTGCATGTGGGCCTGGCCTAATGTTTAAGACAACGATTCGGGTGAAGTCAATGTTCATAGCTTGAAACTGCTTTAACTCCCAGAAAGGGGTGTATCTTCCAGACCCCGTGGCGGGAAGTCCTCCTGCGGCCCTGGTTCTCGAGCATCCCTCTCGCCGCGAACGCTGCAGTGCTCCAGGCTTGCATCCGTCTGTCCACCTTCAACACACGCCCATTCCTCCCGAGCGCCCCAACCTGCACACAGCGGGAAGTTCGGCGGCGAGCGATGGAGGGAAGTGAGAAGGAGAAGGCCATCTCAGACTGCGGCGGGGCTTCTCAGAGGGCCTTGTGGCTTCTGAGAAGTTTCCTGTGTCTTCGGGGAAGGTTTAGAACACTTCTCAGAAGGCCGGGAAACTTCCGAGCCTTCTGAGAAGGCCCGCCCCCTCTCACTTCCCTCTGGGCTGGCCGCCGAAGACCTACCCTGGTCCAGAAATGAATCGGGCGGAATGCAGGGCTCTGGCAGGCCCTTGCCGGCGGTGGAAGAGAGGGGAGAATCGGAGTCAGGCAGGCCTGGGATGAAGATCGATCGCTCTGGAGCCTTCTGGAACGCTCTGAAACGGCCGCGGCGCCCGATACGTTCTCTAGACCCGCCAGCTCTTAAAGATTCCCGATCTACCCTCATCCGGATTCATCCTCATTCCGGCTTCGTCTTACGGGAGGATCGGGGGTGGCTCAGGGGCAGCATTAGGGGGGTAGGCTCAGAGGGGGGATGGATCGACCCCTAATCGCGGGCTTCCAGCGGCCAGTCGGTGCGATCGAGGCAGCCTTGGACGCCCCTCGGCGAGGCGCAGCCGCTGGAAGACATCCCGAGGATGGACCGCAAATCTCGAACCACGAACGCGAGGTGCCCCCCTAGCATTGCGCCTCCCCCGTGGCCACCTGCTCCCTGCCCCCCCCTCCACTCCCCACGAGGTGCACGAGCACCGCCTGCAGGAGGGCATACAGCGGCTGAAGGAGACGCTCGAGGAGCTGAAGGCGCAGCAGAAAGGGGTGAAGCCGCCGCCTCGGCCCGGGCTCGCACGCGGGTTTGGCCGGCGCGGCGTTGGTTGCAGCGCGTGCAAAATCCCGAGGAGGACAGGAGGAGGAAGAGGAGGAGGACCAGTGTAAACCAAAGACTCATCAACGAGATTGCAATAAACCCTCCCTCCATGTTCCCTCTTCATAGGCTTCTACACGGACTCGTTTCCACTGGGGGACATGACCCGTTGGAAGACAACCGCGTGAAAATCTTGGATTGTGCCAGAACACCATTATTGGGACTCCCACGCCGCGAATCACCATTCCTGCTGCGTCTTGACGATGCCGAATCGTGCCAGAAGACCAGTCTTGTGATTCCAACACCACGTTTCAACATAACGGCTGCGCCTTGACTGGCATCGTAGCAAAACACAGCTTCTGGGATGCTAACCATGAGAACCCTTGAAACTCTTGCGAACTTTTACAGAGTGCTCATTTCTAATTCGTGTGCTGCACGCGGCCTCCGCCGCCCCTTCGGCGCGCTTCATTTTTAATTCGTGGCCAGAATTGCAAATGACCGGAATTAGAAAGGAACGCGCTTGTTAGGCCCCGGAGGCCCCAGGGCAAATGCATTCGAGCGCGCGCCCGAGTCTGGATCTGGGGCGCGCCATCCTCGATCGGGCACGCGTAGACGTGACGCGCAAATCCTGCGTGTCGCGCACACGTGACACGCAAAATCTGCGTGTCACACGGAGCGCGCCTGGGGCGGGACACGCGTAATCAGGGGGGCGGACACGCAAAATCTGCGTGTCGCACGCCGGGGGTCCGGGGGCCGGGGTTGGGACACGCAGAATCTGCGTGTCACGCGGGCCCCGCCAGGGCAGCGGTCACGCAAAATCTGACGTCGCACGCCAGGGGTCCTGGGGGCCAGGGTGGGGACACGCAGAATCTGCGTCTCACGCGGGCCCAGACGTGTCGCACGCTGGGGGTCCGGGGGCCGGGGTGGGGACACGCAGAATCTACGTGTCACGCGGGCCCCACCAGGGGGGCGGACGCGCAAAATCTGCGCGTCGCACGCCGGGGGTCCCTGGGCCGGGGTGGGGACACGCAGAATCTGCGTGTCACGCGGGCCCCACCAGGGGGGCGGTCACGCAAAATCTGCGTGTCGCACGCCAGGGGTCCTGGGTGCCGGGGTGGGGACACGCAGAATCTGCGTGTCACGCGGGCCCGAAATCTGTGTGTCGCACACCAGGTGTCCTGGGGGCCGGGGTCGGGACACGCAGAATCTGCGTGTCACGCGGGCCCCAGCAGGTGGGGGCCAAGGGCCGGGGGCCGTGGCGCTCCTGGAGGTCCAGAGGCCACGGGCCAGGGCCCGGACAAGCAGAATCTGCGTGCCACCTTGAGAACGCCGCGCAGGGGCACGCAGAATCTGCGTGTCACACGGGCTCAAAATCTGCGCGTCGCACGCCGGGGGTCTGGGGGCGGGGGTGGGGACACGCAGAATCTGCGTGTCACGCGGGCCCCGCCAGGGGGCCGGACACGCAAAATCTGCGTGTCGCACTCCAGGGGTCCTGGGGGCCGGGGTGGGGACACGCAGAATCTGCGTGTCACGCGGGCCCAGAATCTGCGTGTCGCACGCCGGGGGTCCGAGGGCCGGGGTGGGGACACGCAGAATCTGCGTGTCACGCGGGCCCCACCAGGGGGGCGGACACGCAAAATCTGCGTGTCGCACTCCAGGGGTCCTGGGGGCCGGGGTGGGGACACGCAGAGTTTGCGTGTCACGCGGACCCAAAATCTGCGCGTCGCACGCCGAGGCCGAGGGCCGGGGTGGGGACACGCAGAATCTGCGTGTCACGCGGGCCCCACCAGGGGGGCGGACACGCAAAATCTGCGCGTGGCACGCCGGGGGTCCCGGAGGCCGGGGTGGGGACACGAGGAATCTGCGTGTCACGCGGGCCCCACGGGGGCGGACACGCAAAATCTGCGTGTCGCGCGCCGGGTGTCCCAGGGGCCGGGGTCGGGACACGCAGAATCTGCGTGTCACGCGGGCCCCAGCAGGTGGGGGCCAAGGGCCGGGGACCGTGGCGCTCCCGGAGGTCCAGAGGCTGGGGGCCAGGGCCTGGACATGCAGAATCTGCGTGTCACCTTGAGAACGCCGCGCAGGGGCGCGCAGAATCTGCGTGTCACACGGGCTCAAAATCTGCATGTCGCACGGGGCTGGATCAGAGAAACTATGGATTCAGTTTGTGTCGGGGTTTCGGTTTTCTGCTATGCCTGGCGGCCCATAGGGGCCAGACGGATCGCGAGGAGGCGCATGAGGAGGAGGAGGAGGAGGAAAAGGAGGAGGAGGAGGAGGAGGAGCCATCTGTGGTTGTGGCTCCTCGCGTTTCTCCGGCCTGCCTCTCTCCCCTCCCCCTCCTCCCTCCCTCCCTCTCTCCTCCTCCCCCCGCCCCTCCCCCCGAAATGGGACGAATTACAACCGACTAGTCCCAATTCCAACCGTTCGGAGCGAATTGCAACCATACATGGGACCAATTACA